ACACTGTGTCAATTTTTGAGGTTGTGGGCTCGAGCTCCTTATGAGCATATCCCACCAGTCCGACTGAAGAAGATAGCTCATTTTGTCTATAGCACGATGGTCGATAAAGAAAGGAGATGACAACTAGGGGGTGGTAGGTGTTGTATCTTATTGCTCTACTGAGGTCTCCCCTTCATGTTGGCTCAACCCTATAATGTTATTCATCCACTCGACTTCTTGTTGTTGCCTGTGAGGGACCTGCAATCAATAAAGGACTCTTAGTGGGCACCAAAAGTGTTATTCTCTCAATAAGAATTTGTTTGCTAGTGGATAACCTTAACAAACTATAGATGCATTATACTTGGATGAAATAAGTTCCGCACCTTCCAATTCTCCCACTGCAAGGACCACTTCGGGCTTCAGTCAACTCACCACTCCGACCACCTTAGGGTGAGCAATCACATGAGCCTTATTCTTCTCTACCTAAGAAACCACCCATGCCTCCCTCTCAGTCTGTTGAACATAAAAAGCCTTCCAATCATCCTCTATCTTTTGTTCAAAAGCCTCTGGTTGTAGCAACACCCGATTGATAATTTCTGAGCTCAGGTATTGCTGGACCAAAAGTTGATGCCCTTTGATGTCTCTGACCTCCACCAATTCCCTATTTGACACCTTCTTCTTTGACTTCATCTGAGAAGTGTCGAATGGGATAGCTTGGATGTACCATCCCTATAGGGAAAAACCTAGGAAGAAATAGAACTTCCAATCCTTCAATTTATTTTACAGCCCCAGTAGCTGAAGCTTATCGATCAAGGTAAACTGAATGAAGCCATCTTTTTTTACTAGAAATGAGAATAATTTCCAAAAAGCTTGATTAATCAGGGCATCCTTGATTGACAAAAAAAAATGATGAAGGGCATCACAACCACTATAGAGTTGGGTAGTATTTGAGTTGGAATGACTCCACAATAATTAAAGATGGCCCACAACTCTTTGTAGAAGGTAAGCTAGAGACCAAAGTGTAATCGATCCTTGAATAAATAGAGATCTATAACATACAAGGAAGTGGCTCGGTCATTCTCCCAAGGATCCAAAGCCTAATTGAAGGATAGAAGATATATATCTCTTATAACTAATTGACCTCCCCTGAAGTCATCGATAGCCGATCATTTAACACAACCAACTTGAAGGACTTTGGAGCAATTAAGTAGAGTGCGAAGAAAGGAAACTGAGGGAACAAAGAGATGTGAGGAGAAAAAGATAGTGAACAGTATAGCATCATCAAACCATACACTCTTTTATATAGGGAAACAAAAGAGGTTGAACCGTCACACAAAGAAAAAAAAATAGAATTTTACTGAAATTTAGTAAAGGCGTTGACTAAAAAATCACAAAAACACATGAATCGAGATAAAAAATAAATTTTATTATAAAAATTGATGTTACAGATTGCAAGAAACACTTACAAATTAGCCAATGAGAATATATTTTACAAGGGGGTTGGTCGCTGATTTAGCCAACCTCTTATACAAAACTTGATATACCCTATCTAAGGCAACCTCTTATACAAAACTTCTTCCCCAAACATAAAATGACTCACTCAATTCATCTTGACTTGGGTATGGAGTATGAAGGATCTCTCCCGAATGTCTGATAGTTTCTGAAGAAGAGTGGCCATCTCCCTCTCTATTTTCTCCACTTTCTTCACGCAAGCAAGCAAATAATGAATCTCCTTGCCTTGATGGATCCCAGTCAACTGAGCATGGGAGTTCTCAATCTCATTTAAATGAAGATTCAGTGATATGGTAGATATCTGAGGTCCTTCGACTGCTTTGCAATGGGTCTTAAGAGGATTTCCTGAGTGGACATTACCACCACCGTCGCTCGAGATTTGAACACCCTCGACTGGAGCCTGAGTAGTTGTCGCTGGCTCTATTATCTGGTTCTTACTCATGTTTATCAGAGGTAAATCATCATACATGACTATTGAAGCTGGGTCAACTTCAGTAAGAGACCATGTAAAGAAGAAAAGGGCCTCATAAAAAATTTAAAGCTAGCAAGAAAAACTGAGGCTCCTCATACTGAGTCGAGGGTGTTCCGCGGGCTCTCAGACCTATTTTATATATTGAAAGAAGTTGTCACAAGAGAAATAAAGAGTGATGTCTAAATGACCAGAAGACTCAAATGACATTTCCCTCTACATGAAAAAGATTCTCATATTTATAAATCATAGATGATATTTAGAAAATTACATTCTCACCAGTTACAAGTCTTTATTACCTATGCTTTAATAGGGGAGTTACATGTTATTATTAGCTTGATAGGGGAGTTACATGTTATTATTAGCTTGTTTGACACCGTTTAATGTCTGACATCTTTTCATATTCCTGGCTTTTTTCATATGCCAGTCGTCTTTTCTTGGCCGGTTCCATCCGACGAGGTGG